TGGGGATTCGAACCCGCCACCTTAGGTGTACGTGGCTGGCGCCTTAGCCGGTTGAGCTATAGGCGCCGAGCCTGAAATGCTGTTTCTAATCTTCAATCTCTGTTAGTATATAGTAGGTGAAGCAGGTGTGAAAAACTAAACGTCAGAACCTGGTTACTGCACCAGCTCCTGGACACGGGGTCAGTGTCCGTCATCGCACTAGCACTCCACACACTACTCCATCTCATCTGCCAACTGTGTTACCACAAGGTTTGTGTCACCTCAGTCTTACAGACAACATAAGATGGCAACGATAATGACGAAGACGTCAAAAAATAAGATTCAAACGCGCTAGACTCTATTCTGACCCCTTTTTATTTCACTCTCCCCACATTCGCATGAGAAGGTATTAACTATTCTTATTTCCAGTTGACAGGTAAGTAAACTGAAGGCTAGAGATTGAATAATTTTCCTTAACTCACGCATTGTACTAAGAAAAGGTAAGTCTTGGATGCCAATCCAGGTTGAACAGATTCCAAAGCTGATACTCTCTGCCATTGTACTACATTCTAATATTTAGCTGATAAATATATGAAATAATAATGAGAAAATAGTGAGGAGATGTTGAAAGGAAAGCGGAGCGTGCTCACTGCTGAAGGCGTGATCTCAGCTATCGCAGGGTCCAGTCTTAGCTGCTGAACCCACCGTGTGTGCGAGCCATGTTAAACACTTTGTGCATATTAACTTATCTATCTTTGGTAACCACTCAAAGAGGTATTATCCATCCCATCTTACAGACCAAAAACCTGAGTTACCAGGGTATTTTGTAGTGAGTGGTGGGACTCACAGTGCAGGGACACACAGTGTGGCTGCAGAGAACGCACTCTCTACCGACCATGGAGCTGCCCCACCTGGATGGACACACACGAATTCTCCTGTGCAGACTTGCGCACCACTGTGCCGTACCACCTCGGACACGGGTGCAGATAATTCTGAACATCATCCCCAAATCAACAATCTTTCTCATAAGGAAAATGCCTTAATTTTAAAAGCAGGCACTTTTTACAACTGAACTTTCAGAAAAGCATAAATACATAGCACCGACTCTATTTTCAAGTAGCTAGATTTTAGAAATAGAATTAAAAAATTATTCTCCACTTGGCAAACAGGCATATCTTGAAATCTCTTATAGTCCCACATAAACTGCCAAAAACACAGCGATACATTTTGAAGAAAGTCAAACATGAAAAAGACAGAGTGATTTTTATGACGATATCACTTTGTTTCTAAATTATTCTCTAGGATCCTTATATTTGATTTCTAATCGAAATCCCAGCCAAATTTTCCTGCAAGTTTAGCGAACTGATTTTCAAAATTTACAAACAGCCTAAATATTCTTGAAGAAGAGCCAAATGAGACGGGAGGGTGCCCGTGTGTGTCCACCAACGTCCGTGCATTGATTCTCTGCACATCCTGTGTTCTCTGCTCTTCGACTAACTCTCCTAATCACCACACTCACCCTTGCAGTCCAACTCTTCTGCTACCATCATGGCATGTACTTCCCAAATCTCCACTGGATCCCCACAACTACCACTTCAACTTCCCATCTTTTCCCTTCTTATAAATCAGCTCCAAGATGCACAGAATCCCAACTGCAAGCAGGAACGTGGATCAA